CTGTGAATAATGAATGTATTTTTAGTATTGCCTATTTAAGATCTGAAAAATTGGCATCATATCACATGTAGCATATAAAGAAGGGCCCATAACAGCCAGGCAGATTGAATGCTTGGCTGTCTCATGGTCTCTGTTGATAAGAGGTGAGTGTGGGGTTTCAGGATTGTTTGTGTGTGTACTTTTCTTTTTCTGTAAGGTGGCTGAGGTAGAGATTTTTGTCTAAAAACTTTTCGTCTTGCTAGTTTCCCTCTTACTATCCTTTAGTTAGAGAAAGTACCTTTTGTTTTTCTTCACTGGATCATAGGTAGGGATGGCACTACCTGACACACAGTAGAGGAGTGAATCCCATAAATAAATATATCAAGGTTAGCGAGAACCAGGTTTATTACTCTTACTGGGCAGTGGTTCACCCAGATTGCAAACCCATGGTGTCAGATTAGAATAATTCAAGATACAGGTAAAAACTCATGGTTTTCAGTGCAAATCCATAGAAAAAGCAAGAAATACAGAAATAAGTGTGTGTGTACATGTGTATACTTAATTCTCTTACCTTGGAGGTTCTGGAAATAGCACTGATCCAGTTTAAGAAAGCATAGTGACTCCCCAATGTGGCTTTTAAATGCCATTTTCCTACAAAATGGTAGACATTATTGGATTAGAAAACTACTTTCTGGCAACCATCAAAGAGTAATTTTGCCAGCAATGATCAATGGACACTAACAGTACTGAATGAGAGTTTGCTAAGAAAGTATTCATGTTGTTCTAAAGTGCATCCCATAAAACTCCAGTTATGAGTAGGAAGAAACTGTAACTTTACAGCTGTGAGATCTGACAGATACTGCCTTAAAGTGGTATGACCTAACAACAAATCAGACAGTACTAGAAATTGTGTACCACCTGATGGTCTAGTGAAAGGACTCCTCTAGAGTATTCTTGTTGAAAACTTGTATCTTGAGCCCAGTTATGAGAGAATATGAGACAAATAAAGATGAGGGAAACAGTGAACAAATTGACTAGGAATACTCATGCTAGTCATGATTATGAGAGCCGGGGAAAGTGAGCGCTTGCCCAGATGGATGTAGGGCTCATGAGAGAAGTCTAAACACAGTGTAAGATTCTGGATTGGGTCCATTTACCATGATGGATATTGTTGGGATCTTTAAGAGGAGACAAACGTGGCCTCTGAAGTAGATTATGGTCTTTATATCAGAGCTAACTTCTGAATTTTGATAGTCACAGCTGTCGTGAGTTTTGTAGAACTGTAGAAAGTACTCACCCTTGTAGATGTTGACTGTCATGGTAGCATCTTGTGGTCAAGTGGTCCAAGGAAATAGTTTTTTTCTGCTGTTTCGGCGTCTCGTAGGTTGGTCTGAAGTTGTTTAATAAAGCAAAAGCCTTCCTGTTAGGTAGCTCAGATTTGTTAGTTTATCACCGAACCATCTAGAAGATTTGATAGATTGTCCTTGAGACAGATGGAGCTGCCCTGCCAGAATGGCTTCCCTTGGTGCTGATCTGTCAACATTTGTAGTCTTCTCACTAATGCATTCTGTCTGTGCTCATTATTTATTCCATTCACCTGTGTCTTGCTTTTGTGGAAACTGCTTCTTTGAATGGAAAGTGTGGTTTACCCAAAATGGCATTTTACTGTCACAATGTCACTTTGTGTGTGCTATTTTTTCCCGTTTGCCGGGTTGTTAAAGCAGTTTCTGTTTTTACCACACCACATCTCAGTTTTAAGCATGCCTCTTAGGTTTTGAATTTACTTTTTAAAAAATGCTGGGCTGGTTGATTGTCTTTGGCAGAAGTAGAGGGGCAGATGTTGTGATGCTGTAGCTGATTCCTAAGAACATGGTCACGTTTGAGTGGTTAGTTGTTAAGGTTTTAGCATTGGATGTACTGGGAGCATGTTGATGATAGTCTAGGAACTTATGTCAGGTGGAGTGTGAGGTCGAGAGTCATAGTCATCACAGCCTTCTTTCTGTGAGAACGTTACAATCAGCTGTCTGACAGAATCTGCTCTTTCTCCAAGGTCCAGAAAGTGACATTTAATTGTACAGGCCGGTTTCCTCCTCTGGTGGGACCAAACTCCATCATAGGTCTTGCTTGCCTTAGACTGGAGGACAAGCTTCTCTTTAGCAGTATACGAATTGTCCTATTTCTCCGAATGATCAAGGAAAAGAGCTTTTAACTCAGAGTGGTAGTTAGATTGCATTTAGTGCACGCCCACAAGTGCAGGCTTTCCTTTAGCAATTTTTCTCCTTGCTGCTTTTACAGTGTAGGTGGCCTTCTCCGGATTGCTTCTGACAGGAAATTGAACAACCTTTCTTTTTTGGAAATGAATGTATTACTGCTGAGAGTGGAAAAAATAAAAAAAAAGAAATTTTATATTTGAAATTTTATTGTGAGATTGAAGACCAATTTAATTCCAGAAAAGTGAAGGGTAAGGGTTAAATTCCGAATTCTGCAGCGCAGTTTCTGAACCTCCTTGGTCACCTCTGTGTCTGCTCTTTGTGGTGTTGCTGCCTTCCCTCCTTTATCAGGAAGTAGGCTTTGACCTGCTCTGACTCCTAATGGGCCTGTTTCCCATGCTTGCCTTTCAACAGTGGAGGTGCAGTGGGCTCATCTAAACTCTAGTGTCTGTGTTGGCCCCACCCACATGACACACATCTATCCAGTTGACACATACCTACCCAGTTGACACACATCTACCCAGTTGACACCCCCCCATCCCTCAGGGAAGCTTGCTGGCGAGCTAGTTGGTTCCCGTACCCCAAGTGTAGGCAGGAGCACCTGCCAGTGCCACAGGTTCTGCCTTGAACCCAGACCTTTTGTTGTTCGGGATGTGAGTGCCTGTCTCTGTTCACCTCTGCCTGCTGTCAAGGGCACATGGGTTGCACAGGGCTATAGTGGTTGAGTCTGATTCGGACAGTTCCTTTGCATCACTGAGGATTGCGCCTGTCTCTGTTCACCTCTGCCTGCTATAGTGGTTGAGTCTGATTCGGACAGTTCCTTTGCATCACTGAGGATTGGGGGGAATAAATCAGTCTTGAATCAGAGTAGGTGTGTTCTGTTGTGCTACATTCTGAAACCTTGTCCAGTTGGAAGGGAGTAATTCTGTTGGAATCTAAGTGTGCTCATAAATCATATTCTTTTGCATGACTCTAAAATTTGCTTGTTTGTCCTTGTACCTAAGTGGTTTACTAGTGCAAATCAGCTGCTAGGCATGTTCCATTTATGTAATTAGGTAGTTATAGTACGATTAAGATCACCAAACAAAAACATTTGAGTGTTAATGGCCGTCCTTTCCCATTCTGTGGTATGCTCCAGGCCACTCCTGTGAAAACGTATTGCAAGTCTGTCATCTGGGCTCTCTCGGTCTTAGAATGAATGCCCTTCATAGGTTCTTTTGCCCTCAGAGGTTGTGTGTAGTGTTGTACCTTCCTACTGTGGTGGTGTAGGAAAGTTGGTTGCAGGCCTTCCCCAGCCAGCCCTCTTCTGCTGTAACACCATGGTGCTCGGCACCGTAGGCTCTGGGTAAATCCTGCTTTGAAAAAAGTAAGATTTGGAGTGTTTTTACTTTTGGCTATTAAAGGCTAGGACTCTTTAAATGTCCAGGATGACAGGCTTGAAGGAAGCACTTCCTTCCTGCTCACTAGGAATTGGGAATACATGTGAGTGAAACTTAGGTCTGGTCATTCTTTCTTTTCTTAGCTTCCATTTTGTGATTGGGCAGAGAGCTTGAAGTAATGCTTAATCTCAGCAAACTTAAAATTCATTTCTTGGGAAGTTTTTTTTTTTTTGTCTTTTTGAAGCAGGTCTCCCTGTAGCCCCAGCTGTCCTGGAACTCATTATGTAGACCAAGCTGGCCTTGAACTCACAGAGATCCGCCTGCCTCTGCCTCCCAAGTGCTGGGACTACAGGTGTGTGCCACTGCGCCTGGCTTGGGAAGTTATTTTTTTAAAAATGGAACATTTATTCCAAATCATTGCTATCGAGCATGAATCTCTATTGTGTTAATGAATAGGATATAGGAACATAGCTTTCATAGAAAATTCTTTATGACTGTGATTAGGAGCTTGTCTATCTCCAATGAGCAGGGTTAAGAACATAGGATTTCTTTGTGTGTATGTTCATGTGTATGTGGGTGCATGTGTGTGCATTCATAAGAGTCCAGAGGTCAACCCAGTTCCTCAGACTCTCCAGCTTGGTGTTTGAGACGGGGTGTCTCTGGAACCTGGGGCTTGCTGGTTAGGCTAGGCTGGCTGGCTAGCTAGGGAGCCCATCAGCCTGTCTCCACTCCTCCAGCACTGGAATTATAAGCATGTGCCATCATGCCTGGCTTTTATATGTGTGCTGGAGATTGAATTCGGAGCCTTATGTTGGTGTAGCAAGCGCTTCACCAGCTGAGCTATCTCCCCAGCCCCTAGAATTATAGACTTTCTAAATAGCTTTGAGTGGGGTTTCTCAGCCTCATTATTTCCCTGTTGGACTGGTGGTTCTTTCTGTGGGGCTGGGAGTATTGCTGCCTTGTACTAATTAAATGACAATAGCATGTTCCCTCTTTTGCTTGTGAGGACCTACAGTGTCTCCAGATATTGCAAGATGCTCCTTGAAATCTCCACCCTGCTGAGGAGCACTGCTTCAGAACAGCGCTTTGTTGTGTTTGGGAGGTCTGGGTTCCCATAGGCCTCCTAGGGGGACTTTTTACAGGCCCTGATCCAGGGTTCCTCCATGGACATTCTGAGCTGGGTGTGGCCCTGGAATAGCAATCAGTCTCTCTAGAGGGTTGAATAGCCAGTTTTAAGAATCTGTTCTTTGTGAGAGTAGCTATTAGTTATCCTAAATTTAAGTGTGTAGACCCTCACATAAAGAGAATAAAATTAAAGACAGTTTTAGATTAGAATTTGATTTATAGTTAATTTTTTCCCCTTTACTTTTGTATATTTTCCAAAATTTGAGAAAAAACTCTTTTACTAAAGTTTGCAATTATTTTAATCTAGGTTTTGAGAGATTGCCTCAAGTTGGACTCAGAAGTGAAATTCACTTCAGGCTTTGAGATGGAATGAGGTGAGTTGTGCTGGGGAGGGAATGCCACTTAGACTCACTTTTTTTTTTTTTTTTTTTTTAATTAAGTAGAAGGCTTACTGCTTGTAGAAAGAATTTGGTTTACCAGCTGTGAGCCCCTTGTTCTTTTCCTGTGAGTTTCCCCCTTTTGCTGTTTTCTTGCTGACAGGTAGAAGTGGAAAGCAGATGATGTGAAAGGCTTGTGCAGTTTTAGTCATGGATTTCTGAGCACTGACATCTTTTTAAAAAATATTTTATTTATTATTTTTATTTTATGTGTATGTGTGTATTGCCTGCATGTAGGTAGGTGCACCCATGTCGTGCAGTGCCTGTGTAGGACAGAAGAGGCTGTCGGAGTCCCTGGAACTGGAGTTGCAGACAGTTGTTAGCTGCCATATGGGTGCTGGGATTTAAACCCGGGTCTTCTGCTAGAACAGTGTTCTTAACTGCTGAGCCATCTCTTCAGCCCTGAGCATTGTCATCTTTATGTTACTGGAGTTCTTGGGGTCAGAGCTTGGACCCTGGAAATCCTAACAAGGTAGGGTTAGCCACCTGTCTTCAGGTCAGCTAGGCAGACAAGTAACAGTGAAAAGCAGAAAAAGGAGATTTATTCAATATGGCCATCCTAGGAAAAGGAACAGATAAGAGAGGTCCGTCCCCTAGTCCAACTTCAGTGTCCTGACATGAGGATTAGGTTAAAGCAGAGGACGTGAGGTCCTGATCGAGGTGCAGTCCTGCCACCACTGACCCATCATTTGTTGGGCTCCAGTTTCTCCCTCAAGGTGGCCTGACAAGTTGCCAGAGTGGTATGAGACAGGTTTCTCTTCTGGCTGCCACTGGGCTGTCTCCCAGCATGAGACTCTGGGGAAATTTCCGTTTCTTAGGGTCACTTCTTTCCATTGTCTTAGAGCCTAAAGAAGACACAAGTGTCTCCCAGACTGTCTTGGCTCTTGCTAGATGGTTACATATAAGTAAAATAGTCTACTTAGATTTCTGGCTACTTAAATTACCAAGGTTTTCTGTTACATGCTTATGTTTCTGTTTTCTGATAGATACATTAAAAGTCTTCATGTTTTTAAAAATTTTGACTAAGAAACACCCTGTTTTGCATAAGATCTTGTAACTTCACTGTGCTGGTATGTAGGGGGAGCACTAGCTCATCCTGAGTAAGGGAGGGTGACTGCTCACACTTCCTAGTACATGCTTATTATTGATCGTGGGGTGCTTACTCTTGGCTGCTCTTCAGTAAGAATGCAGTTCTACCCTAGCCTTATTCTGATATTTTAGTAGACATTCTCAAGTACTTTAATCGGTTGTGAAATGATGGTATCTTACTGAATAAAATGGCTTAACTCAGAAAGAAAGAGACATTTTTCATTTTTCATTCTACTAGCCCCAAATGAAGTAGGTAATATGTTAAGCTTTTTTTTTTTTTTAATTTTGGTATATGACTAGCCTTATTTTTAGTAGACATTCTCAAGTACTTTAATCGGTTGTGAAATGATGGTATCTTACTGAATAAAATGGCTTAACTCAGAAAGAAAGAGACATTTTTCATTTTTCATTCTACTAGCCCCAAATCCCAAATGAAG